GGAGAAGCCTCGCTCCATCCCTTAGCAATTCCCAGAATGTGGCCCCTGGGTGTCTCCAGACTTTTTGAGGTAGTCAGTAGGTCAAAACTATTTTCATACTAATACTAAGACATTATTTGCATTTTTCACTGTGTTCACTTTTGCCTTCAGTGCGAGAACAGTGATCATCAATAAGAGTAAATATCTCATTTTTCCCCACTGGATACTCACAGAAAAGGAAAGAGAGGGAGGGGGCAGGGGGAGGAGAAAGGAAGAAGAAAGGGTAGGAGAAGAGGACAGAGGAAGGGAGGGGAGGAGGGAAGGTGAGAAGAAAGGAAGAAGGAGGAAGGAAGGAAGGAGGGGAAGAAGGAAGGGAGAGAGGAAGGAGAAAGCTAGTTCCACTTAAGAATGTCCTTGACAGGGGATGCCTGGGTGGCTCAGTTGATTAAGCTTCTGACTTCAGCTCAGGTAATGATCTCATGGTTTGGTTTGTGCTGACAGCTCAGAGCCTGGAGCCTGCTTCGGATTCTGTGTCTCCCTCTCTCTCTCTGCCCCTCCCCGCCCATGCTTTCTCTCTCTCTCTCTCTCTCTCTCTCAAAAATAAACATTAAAAAAAAAGAATGTCCTTGACAAAGCAGTAAAAATTAACTACCTTTATTAAATCTCAACCCTTAAGTACATGTTTTTTAAATATTTTGCATGAGTAGATGTGGGCATACACATGCTTATGCTGCACCCTGTAATCAGGTAGTTGTCTCAAGGACCTATAAATGGAACTAGGTACATTCTTTTTTTAATGTTTATTTATTTACTTTGAAAGAGAGGGAGAGAGAAGGAGGGGCAGAATGAGAGGGAGAGAGAGAATCCCAAGCAGGGTCCTGCACAGAGCCCAACAGGGGCCTTGATCTCACAAACCATGAGATCATGACCGGAAACGAAATCAAGAGATGGGTGCTTAACTGACTGAACCACCCAGGTACCCCCTAGCCGTGTTTTTCATGGAACACCAGTTTTATTTGAAAGAACACTGATAGACAAACTATAACTATTCAGACTTGGGTATTTGGTAGACATTTCTCAAAAATGAATGAAGTGGGCCTTTCATTTCATACAGAACAACTGATAGTATGCATGGCTAATGATAAAATTCAAGCTTTCAAATGGAAGTTGGAATTTTGAAAAATGTGTGTCTGCTGGCATGAGCTTGACAGCTTCCCAATATATAGAGACTTTTCTAATGAGGTAGGTGAAAATACAATTATTTTGATATTGTGTAATGAAATGTGTCAATTATTGGAAAATCTGCATAACTCAGTGAACCAACATTTTCCAAATGACCAATGCATGATGGGACAAAACCTTGCATGAGTAAAAGATCTATTCAAAGTGCTCAATAGACCAATGAATTTTAATGCACTATGTGTTGGAGGAGGTTATTAAGAGGATGTGACTGCTGATTAACCTGCAAGATGGACCCAGGTAACTGGAGACTTCTTATCCTTTCCCCTGTCCCTGAAACATATGTTCTGCCTACTGTTTCCACACTAGAAGCCACTTCAGGGACACAGCTTTGAGAAAGTAAGGTGTTATTGAGACCATCTCAACTGTATAAATGACTGAACCCTGCTTGTTCAGGCCTCTACATAAACTTAAGATTCTGGCAGCAACTATGGAGATTTACTCATTTTGTAGCCACTCCAGACAAGCCAAGTATATAAGTTCCCTTGCTTATTAAAATTGTCACTGCCCAATCTGAAATGGTCTGCCTTTTTCTTTTCTCTCTCCTTGCCCTCCATGTATGGGGGCCAGTTTCAAATTTTAACCCCAGGAACTTTGAGGTTGCAAATCAACACTAGGGTAGAAAAAGTTTATTGATGTGGTTTCAGATTCCACATTAGAACTAGCGTTTAGGAAACTACTACTTGTTGATTTTGAGGGCAGTATCAAAGGAATATCCACAATTATGTCCTGTTTTTTCAATTACATGTGTGTGATACCAAATTAATTCATATAATTTGACTGAAAGTACATATCGCAACAGATTGGGTGCAGGAGCAGATATGAGAATCCAAGTGGTTTTTTTTTTTTCCAAGTGTTTATTTTTTAAGCCAGACAGTGAAAAGATTGGCAAAAATGTAAAACAATGCTCTTCTTCTCATGATTTTCTTTATTTGAGGAAATATAGTTATTTTTTGTAACATATGCTATTTATGTCAACACATAAGAGCCTTATTGTTGAATTAATACATAATGAATTAATACATAAATATTGGAAAATGTATGTTTCAATTTCTTACATGGTAAATATGGGGAGAAATAATCCACATAAACAAAAGTTCTTTGGGATCCTCAATAATTTTTCCAGCTTTATTAAGGTATAATTGACAATTATAACTTGTATATATCAAAGATGTACATCAGTAGGTTTTGATATACATAGTGATGTGATTATCACAATCAAGATAATTAACATATCCATCACTCACAGTTACCATTTTTGTTTGTTTTCTTGTGAGAACACTTAAGACTTAATCTCTTAGCAAGTGTCAAGTATACAATACAATATTATTAATTATAGTCACTTGGTTTTACACTAAACACCCAGGACTATTCATCTTATAACTGAAAGTTTGTACCCTTTGACCAACATCCCCCCATTTTCCTCACCTCCAGCCCTGGTAACCATCATTCTAGTGTCTGTACTATGAGTTGACTTTTTTAGATTCCACATGCAAATCTCCACATGAGATCTCCACATGAGATCCTACAATATTTGTCTTTTTCTGTCTGGCTTATTTCACTTAGCATAATGTCCTCCAGATTCATCCATGTCATTGCAAATGGCAGGATTTCCTTCTTTTTTATGGCTGAGTAATATCCCATCATCTTGTCCTTGTGTGCAGAGCTGAGCAACCATGGTGCCCCAAGTGTGGTTGCTGATGATGTTTCTCATCGAGGGCAGTGTGGCTGGGGGCACTGTCTACCTGGTGTATGACCAGGAGCTGCTGGGGCCTAGCGACAAGAGCCAGACTGTCCCTCGGAAGTCTGAGGAGGTAGTTCCCCCAGCCATAGACTAGTTAGCCACTGTGTGTGTGAGCAGACCAGTCTGGAGATACCCCAATTCCCAGCACCCCCAAAGTTTAACTTTCACATCCACAGGTCCTGGAATTCAGGCATCATAATGGTGATGTCGGCTCTCTCGGTGGCTCCTTCCAAGGAGAGCTGGGAGTACCTAAGGAGCAAACTAAGTAGCCTGTCAGAGGAGAGCACCTGCCCCAGTCAGGAACAGGGGCAGGGGCACCAGAGACCTGGAGACTCCAGACTGGGACTGGGACCCCACTCCAAGGGCAGCTCCCAGCTCTGCCAGCCCAATAAAGGACTTTATGAAATGTGAAATATATTAACATTTATATATCTCCATCATCTTTTATCCATTCATCTGAGTGTTTCTCAGTAGTTTTAAGTGTAAAGGTCTCCCTGAGACTAAAGAGTTCAAAAAGCCCTGCCTTAATTTTATTTCCTCAGAATGTGGTGTCCAACACCTAGTCAGAATCGTTCCTAAGAAGATTAAGGCATGAGTCCTCAAACTGCTTTTTCTCAAGAACGCTTTATAGTTTTAAAATTAATGTGGGGCAGGAGATGACTCTTTGTTTCTTGAACTTTGAAATTTTTGCCTGCTCTGGAAAAATATAGCTCCTGATTTATCTGTACCTCATGCCAGCATAATGTTAACTTGTCCAGCTCTGAGCACAAAAGCAAAGAAGGGAGCATTTTCCTCTTGAGCACCCAGAGACAAAGCACAGATTCCTGTCTCACATGAAGGGAACTATACTGCCTCCCAAACAAGGGTCTGTTCCAAACACTTACTCACATTTCAGTGAGTCAGAAGGAAACAGACAGATATTCATCTCCCTGAAACCTGGCTGACTTCCTGCAAGAAGCCTGTGAGGAGAGACAAGGTTGGGGGTCAGGGTTAGTGAGCAGCCACCTAAGAGCTCTCAGGTGATATCTGGAGTCTTAGTAAGCAGGTGAGGACTATAGACAGGTCAGGAAAAAAAAAATGCCTTCGAGTGTTTGTCAGGATTAGTCAGTAGAATTAGTAAGTGACAGATAAGAAAACAGGAAACAACCAGGGGCTATACATTTTGAATTCAAAGGTATTGGGTTTATAGTCTTGATGATAAACAGGAGCAGCTGACGAATAATGATTTACTACTTTAAAAATTCAAGATTCCAGCCTCAGCTCTAAAGGGGAGCATTTGATTTTTACCAATTAAGTCCTTCCACCCTGAACCACTTTACTTCTTTTTTTAATGTTTATTTACTTATATGGCGGGAGGGGGGGGGGGGGGGGGGGGAGAGGAGCAGAAAGAGAGAGGTGGGGAGAGAAAAAGAGTATCCCAAGCAGACTCCACCAAGCAGTCAGCACAGAGCCGGATGTGGGGCTGGAACCACCAATCTTGAGATCGGGACCTGAGCCAAAACCAAGAGGTGGACACTTCAAGGGACTGAGACACCCAGGCGTCCCCCACTTTACTTCTGAGTGGCAATATCCCAAGCATCACACAGTGCTAATACTACCTGCTTCACAGAGATTTGGAATGGCGATAATAATAATGATTAGACTAGTAATTCTTTAATTGTAATTTATTAAAACACTTGACTATTTCACAAAAGAAGTCCCTGGAAGAATTCTGGTTTCAGTGATGTGCTGGGGATTTGTGAGTGAACTTTCGAAGGAAAAACCAGATTTAAAGAAAAGTGAATATCCTATTTGTTAGGTTGGCAAGTAAAAATCTCAGATAGGGTTATAGAATGTCCTTTTTCCAGATCTGAGACTAAAGTAATGGAAGGAAGTGGTCACAGTGTAATACAGACAAAGAGGAAGAGTCACAATTTCATATATGGTTCTCACTCGTCTCTGTGTCTTTTAGTAAATCGCTTAAACTCAGTAATCACATCAGCTGCTTATTATCTTGGGGGAGAGGAATGAATGAGAACTACACACACACACACACACACACACACACACACACACACACACGGTGCTCTTGCGACAGGTCTTGCTTAAATATACCTCGGATAATCATCACTTGTGTGCAGATCTTCTTTCCTGTCGAGTTAGTTTCTAACCTGGTCATTCTGCACTTATTTTTGTCCGTTTCTCCACCCACTTGAGAAAAGCACAGAACGCCACGCACCGCGCCACCCCTAAAAGCGTGGCTTCGGGCTCGCGGCTGCCCTTGCTCCCCACCTCTGCTCCTCTGGAGCTCCCCAGGCTCCAGGAGCCTGGAGCCACGAAGGGCTGCAGAAGCAGCAAGGTTCTCCGGGTGGGAGACCGGGGGTCTCCTGCGGGGCGGGCTGCAGGCCATCGGGGGCGGCGTAGTTTCAGGCCGGCTCCCGCCCGTCGGGTGTGCCCCGCCAGTCCAGTGCAGGGCAGGAAAGGGGCCAGGCGCCCGGATCCCAGCCCCGCAGCTTCGGAGGTCCCAGGACCCGGACCTCTCAGGGCAGTTAAGGTGCGGTTTCCGAGGGTGTGGTGCAACGCAGGTGCCCCGCGGGGCTGCAGGGCCTGGGCTCGGCGGGGCGGGGCCGGGGCAGATCCGGTGTTAGCCTGGCCGGGGGGCGGGGCGGGGCGGGCCTTGGCGCCCCAGGAGCTGCCAGGCAACTTTTCTCCGTCCTCACCCCGGCGGGGGAGAAAAGCTCTCGGGACGGCTTCTGAAGAGTCCGGGTTCTGGAGTCCTTCTGCAAACCGAGAGCAGCAGCTACCGTCCCCGGGCAGGCTCAGGATGCGGCCAGGATGGACAGGGGGCGCGCCGTTGCTGGTGTTAGTGCTCAGTCAAGGTAAGCGGGGAGTTCGCTCTCCATCCGCTCCTGGAGGGACCTGCGCGGGGCCTGGGCGCAGGAGGGAGGAGTTTGCGGGATGAGGGGCGCAGGCAGCGCGCCTCTCTGCTGGATTCCACGTGGACCCCGGCTCCCAGCCATCCGGAGCTGTGTAGAGAAAGACTCCCCATTCCCTCTCTCCCCCGCCTGGTGTCCCCATAAAGCCTGACTCACCCTGTCTGTGAAGCACCCTTCAAAGTCAGTTCAGCGCGCTTTGGTTTTAGAGCCACGCGCACGCACACACGGGCACAGGGGCAGTGGAGACTAAGGGGTGTCCTGAAGGTCGAGAGTCCCGCAGCGTGGTTTAGACTGCCCGTGCCGCCCAGCATCCGCACCCGAGCGTTCTTCGGGTCCCGGGAATCCGGTTCTGGAAAGCAGCATGCACCACCCCAGCGCGATGCCTGCTGGCTTTGCAGGGGTCTGGGAGCCCCAGATGCTTGTTTTTCAGCCCAAGGGTGTGAAGTATGCTCCCATTTCTTCAGGCCGCAGCACTTACGTTTCTTCCCTTAGGGGACGTGGAGAAACCACGCGCCTCTTAAACGCTTGGCAGATGGGAATTCTTCCTTCCCTTCTGCCTTCCTCCAATTGTTGTAACGTTTCTGTTCAACTTAATGTAAACTTAGGCCAGGAAAAGTTCTCTTTACTTTCTTGATCTCAGAATTAACAAGAGAATTAACCGAGGCCATAGCTCCAGCTGCAGGGCCGTGAGAGTGGGACCCACCCATCACCTGACTCCTTTTGCACAAAGTTGTGTGACCATCATCCTTCACGTGTACCTCCTCCAGATCTTTTCCAGAGCCTGGTGTGTGCTTACGATCGGAACTTTAGTTTACTGGGAGGAGGAGAGGGGAGTCGCATTTAAATTTTGTAGTTTGAGGGGGATCTGAGTGGCTCAGTCGGTTAAGCGGCCGACTTCGGCCCAGGTCGTGATCTTGCGGGTTGGTGAGGCTGAGCCCCACGTAGGGCTCTGTGCTGACAGCTCAGAGCCAGGAGCCTGCTTCAGATTCCGTGTCTCCCTCTCTGCCCCTGCCCTACTTGTGAGAGAGCTCTCTCTCAAATATAAAAATAAGCATTAAAAAAATTTTTTTAATTTAAATTTTGTAGTTTGAACAGCTATCAAAACAAGTGTTTTTACAAAGAATATAAGTATTTCCTAAAATATACACAAATATTTCTTATCCTCCATTGAGGCATTTAGGCACGCTATTTGTTACTCTGGAAGAAACCTAATCTAGATAACCCTGTAGCATTTACTTCTAGTCAAAGATAACAGAGAAATAGCACCACCATCCGTACCCCCAGCACAGACTATGCATTATTAGGTTTTCCGTCTAACTCTGTGTCTGGTGCTTCACAGATATTCTGTGCTGGGCCCCTAAGAGTCTTTTTGGGGGCCATCAACCTTAATCTGGGGGGTTGGGATAAAGTTGGAGTCACATTGAAATCAGTCCCTGGAACACCACAACCTTCCCAAGAACTAATAGACATTTAAATCCAAGCTTTTCATCTTTCTTTAATTACCCATTATTAATAGAAGCTATGGAAACATAACATCATTTTCTTATCTTTGAAGTGTTGAGGCTTGTTTTTTAAAGAGCAGTGAGAAATACTTTAGTGGAATGTATTGCTGCAAGGCATGAAGTCAGGTATAGAGATTCTTAACCTGGAGTTAGTTAATAAGGACAAATCAGTGCAAGCAAGCAAAGGTGATTTAAAATGACGGCTGTACAAATATTTTTTTACATTTATTCCTTCCTCCTGTTTCAGTTACTTGCATACTCAAGAACTAAGTTTTCTCTTAATTCAAGGTACTCATAATAAAGCTTTGTCATTTGTGATATTAATCCAGGTTCCTAGGGAAGCAACGTGATTTGCTGATCCCACGAATATCTAAGATTAACATGAATAATTGAATGTCTGGGTCAGTGATAGCTGAAATTTTTTATGGCATTACTCTGTGTAAAATTTTTGAATAGTCATCATTACTACACACACACATATAGTTGTTTATAAATTATATACCCGTACAATTGTGTAATATAATTACATATCAAAAATGAAAATGTAACAAGCATGTGTGTGTGTTTATACATTTACCTCCTCTCCAGTATACATGCCAACCAGTGTAGAAACTTAAAGCCCTCAAATCTCATTTTAACACTTAGAGTCAAATACACTTTCTGTAAACCTTCTCATGGGTATTTAAGAAAAAGCAGTGCTCAGGGTTCAGTTTCATATTTATCACCTCGCATTGATCACCCCTTGGTTTAAGTGCCTGCAGTCATTGAAATGGTAACCAGCAGGCAAAGGATGGAAAAGAAAGACCGTAAGGGGCCCAGATAATTCATAGTCTAAATAATAGGTCCACAGAGGAAAAGAAAAAGTAATTTTAAAATGCACGATGGCACTTACATCCTCGTGTGCTGCCAGGCCATGGATAATCCTCATCTTTTCTCCCTGTGTCTGGCGCCCTGCCCCGGAGTCACTGCCTCTTTAATGAGTACCTTCAAATCCTTTCTCTAATTCCCTTCAAGCTGTAAATACTCTAATTTCTCTCAGAATAAGTAAATCCTTCCTTTAATATGTATTTTGGCAGCTCTGTCCTCCTGAGACACCCTTGAGACACCCTCCACCTCTGTCTTCTAGTCTCGCTATTTTCCTATTTTCCGGGTGGTTCTTCCTCACTCTCTTTCACAGGCTCCTCTGTGTAGCCCAGTCCTTGGTGTTTAGAGTTCCATCCTGGGTCCTTGTCTTCATTCCACCTGTTCTCTCTGGGCTAGTTCCCCCACTCAAGTCAGGATCTCCAGCCAGACTCTTCTCCTGGTTCCAGATCGAGATTTCCATCTGCTACCAAATATCTCCACCTAGACGTCCCGTAAGCATGTCCTCAATGCATCCTCAACTGAAGTCAACACCTGCCCTCCAGAATTCTCTGCTGTATCGTCTCTGCTGTATCGTTTAGCAAACGCTAAACCCGGGGATCTTTTCCCGTGTTTCAGGCTGACAGCCCATCTCCAAGTTCTGTCCTTCCTCCCCACCTCCTATAACTTCCGCCACCACCCTTGCTTTCTTTGTGTCTAGACAACTATAAAGTGTTTTTTCTGTTTTTTGCTCTCATCCTTCTGGTCCATTCTTCTCATTGTCACTAGTGTTATCTTTCTAAACACTCATCTGTATCCAGTCAACCCCTTGCTTCAAACTTTTGGTGGCTCCCCATCTCACGAAGGGTGAAGTCCAGATTCAGGCTTTTCTCTGCTACACTCCTCCTGCACAGACTCAAACACGGGTACATGTACTGCACGTAGGCCCATACATGATACACGCACCCCAAAGCCACATACATACACCTGTACACATCCTTCTGTGTTCTGACTGCACTTGATCAGACCATATTTAGTGCTATTTTCCAGACTGTTCCCTTTGCCTTCACTGCCTTCATGCTTTTTCCCTTCTCCCCTTCTCCCTTTGTAATTTACCACTGTCCTATGTTAGAAGAGACAAAGCCAAGCAAAATTATAAAGTAGGGAAGTTTTTATTTTATAACGAAAAGAGGAGTCTGAGGTAACCTCTAATTTCTGGAACCAACCCTAAACCACCTCTTCCCCCTTATGCTCAGCACCTTCACAGCCTTAAACCACCCTCTGATAAAGTAACCTCCCACCCCATAGCTCTCCAGCCATACCTGCCCCACCCCGACTAAGCTTTGCTCTCAGAAGTCCTGGTTCACAAGCCACTGTTTGATTTAAATTCATGCTTTGGGGCTCAGGATCAGAATTTAAAGACAATTATTCACACATTTCTGATATATAGACAGATTTGGAAGCAATTGCTTAAATGTTAGCACTGTACCTCCTCTTTCCTGAGAAATTAAAATTCCAGTATTGCCTATATCACGTTGTTGTGAGATGAACACCAAGATAGGTACATTTCAACACCAAGAATCAGTGAATGCATCAGCTCGAATGAATTCCCTCTAAAGTAGGTGATGTCTGTTCCTGTCTTAATGTGTTAACAGCCTTGGGCCTATTAAAAGGCAGAAGCCTGTTAATGTAAAGAGATGAGCTTCTAATAATGGAATTTTAGACATTCATAAAAATAAAGACACAAATCCAAGTCAATATGTCAAATAAAGAAGTTCAGGAAGAATGGGAAGAATATTTGGGACCAAAAATATCATCCTGATGTCATAAGAATGTTACCATTAGAGAGGCGCCTGGGTGACGCAGTCGGTTAAGCGTCCGACTTCAGCCAGGTCATGATCTCGCGGTCCGTGAGTTCGAGCCCCGCATCAGGCTCTGGGCTGATGGCTCAGGGCCTGGAGCCTGTTTCCGATTCTGTGTCTCCCTCTCTCTCTGCCCCTCCCCCGTTCATGCTCTGTCTCTCTCTGTCCCAAAAATAAATTAAAAAAAAAAAAACGTTGAAAAAAAAAAAAGAATGTTACCATTAGAGTCAAAAGTTTTAATCTGGACTATTAGCCTTGCTCAGCTTGGGGAGTTACTGAGGTAGGATGGTTTTTGTGTTTTGTTTTGTTTTTCATTTGTTATGGTGACTGATTATTTACCTAGAAGAACATGTAGAAGAATGTCTCTCTAAAGAGAAAAAACTTAATACCTCAAATCCTGAGACAACAATAGATTCTGTATATGAAGGTGATTCCTGTGATGCCCCTTCAGATGACCTGTAGGTGCTTTGTTGATCTGGCCACAGTGAATTCCAGAAAAGTAGTATTTGAACATATTTTTATGCAGCAACTTTTATGCAAGGAAACCTGCTAGGCCCAACTATAGGAAACTTGAAACATGGTCCAAAGAGTTTACAGGCTATTTGGAAACAAGTCCAACCATGAGGGAAGGACATTGTCTCAGTCCCTGGAAGGTACCTAACCAACTTCAGACCCTTCCATCCTCCTTTCTGACAGAAGTCCAATTATTGGCTCACCTCCTCCTCTGCACAGCTAGGAG